TGTGCTTTCTCACGAGCCTCACTCACATTCATGGAAGCACTTTCTTTCTAAGTGTTTTCTGTGTAACATTCATGCACCGTCGTGCTCCAATGAACGCAACCCTGGGTCAGCATCCTTCCCTTTGGCGTGCAGACTGGAGCTGCCAGAGGTCGACCCACACCCCCTCTGATTAGAAGGCGACCTCCTCCACCTCCTGACCCACACCCACCCCAATATGTACTTCAGTGCTTATTGGACATGCAGATGTATGCATGATGGTGGTACAGCTGCTCAAAGAAGGCCTGCAGGTGGACCTGTGTGCAGGATGTGGCCACTCAGACAATTCTCGTATCTGAGGCTGACTGACACACTAACATCACCACAGTCACTCACATGACTCAGTGTGAAACTTCAAACGGCTGTGGGCTGTTTCCTGATCTGCAGGGTCCCTGTGGTTAAACAGGCACTTTGGGTGGATCTGCAGTCACTAATGACACACCTGGCCTTAGACTGGTTCCCCACCCATCACAACAGCCTGAGGAGCAGGCGTGATTACAGGCACTCTGGGTGGGAGTGTGTGTGTCACTAAGTTCTAATACAGTGACTGTGGAGAGGTCAGCCACAGCTTCCACGGATAAACAAAGTCACAACTTCCCAGTCTTAAGCCATCTATCTAGCAGAGGAAGGATTTTTAATATTCCCACAATTATGAATATGTTTCTTACACCACAGAGTCCCATCCATCAAACTGTGGCAGAGGGACACCTGCCGTCTCTCCAGCAGCTGCTGCTGTTGAACGTAGGCAAGCAGACAGAAACGTCCCAGCAGGAAAGGAGGATTGAAATGAGCTGCTGCCTTAGGACTTGTTAGGAACTCATTGAAGGATTCTCCTCTGCCTCAGTGTCTTCGCTCACAGTTCCTATTAGAGTTTGACTCGTTCTGACTACATGAATTATTGGATACAGTGGAACCCGCCTTACGAATACCCTGTTAAACGGAAAATTCAAGTTACGAAGGCACCGAACGGCAATATTTCTGCCTGTGCTACGAAATCCGCTGGCTCTGATTGGCTGAGCCCAGAATGCCTACAATGCCTTCCGAATCATGTGACAACCTGTTGGCCTTCGTACTTGCGCTTCGCTGCAGTGTTGCCAACTTAGCGACTTTGTCGCTATATTTAGCGAGTTTTCAGACCCC